AGCGTCGGCAAGTATTTCACATCGGGGAGGCGAACTAGATCAAAAAAAAAAGGGGGGGGGCTAACTAACTCTTTGTAACATGAAGTAAATAATTAAAATTTCTGCCAAAATCTAGATATTAAATTTACCTTTTAAGTCAATAGCTTAGAAGTATATCCTGATTAAAAAAGAACAATGAAATATACAGCAACAACAAAAATACTTTTTAAGTTACATATACTATATATTAAACAAAACTGGGTCATTTTTAAATAGCTAGGAGATAGTTAGTTTAAATTTGTTTTTTTTTTCTGAAACGGCATAGAAAGAACTTTGAATGGTTTATGACGAGGTATACGTAAATATTAAAATATATATTATTTTCTATTATTGTATAATATTTATTGTTACTTGCCGAAAGAATGCATAATTAGGAAATTAAAATTGAAATACATGTATCCTCATTGAAAAAAATTGAAATACATGTAATACCTACATTTTTGAAATGCAGAAATATCGATTCATCAAAGATTTCCTAACACTGATCGGCCGATTGGTTAGACAATGAACAAGCCTGTTATACACAGGGAAAGGTGTCAGGAAAGGGGTGGAGGCACCTCCGATTCCCCCCCCCCCCCCTCCACTTTCTCCAATTGTTTTCTGAGAATAGTCTTTTTGCTTAAGTTTTGATATGTAAAAATTCATTCATTTAGACACTAATAAACAAATTGAATTGTTGCTGTTAGGTCGAACTCGGCCAAACTCCAGCATTTGAAAAGAAAAAAAATAGAGAACCCCCAAAAACAGAGAATTTCCCAAAACGTTGCTAGCTGTGAGAAAAAAAAATCATCAATATTTTTATGTATAACTGCGATGGAAAAAAAAATGATTAAAGCAAAATTACATTGTACAAAATTGAAATAATACAGAAATCTTTTTTTCTGGAATTTTTCAGTCTTATTACTGTAGTCATAAAGGGAATTACGTTGAACTTCTTAAAAAACTTAAAGCAGCCCCGCGTAACTAAAATAATATCTAAGTGCAAGATAAGCAAACATGTTTTTAATGAATAACCATGATAACGTTTAAAAATATAAATATCAATGAACAAAATCGATTTTCAATAAGTTGAATCGGGCTTGATGTTCGACGTAACAATATGCATATGCTGTGACGTCATGTCGAAGGTCGAGAAAATGAGGTTTACATGCAGTGTACATTCAATTTATACATGTAGGCTATTAAATGGAGATAAATCGATAAATTAAAATGTTTTATGTCTATATTAAATTGTAACCATGAATTAGCGGAAGGTGTAGAGCAAAAATCCACGTAAACATTAAGAGTAATATTAATTTAACAGTAAATCCAGAGGAGTTCTGTTGACGTTCCCCATAAAAATAAGTGATAAAAAACATTCCCCATAATTTTCGATTACATACTGAAACGACAGTTAGGTTATTTTTAAAATAAGAAAGGAGAGACAACAACAAAACAGGTATTTTCTACAAGAATTGACCATTATTTAAATAAAATAATAATAGGAAAGCACTTTCCCCACAACATATTCCATTCGTCCAATTCCTCACAAGTCGGCTATGATGGGTAAGAGAGAGAGAGAGAGAGAGAGAGGTGCTGTCTTTTAAAAAAAAGTTTGATCATGGGTCGGTGACTATAATGTATACAAATAAGCCAGAGTCTCTTAATGTGAAAATTAAGTCAAAAGTCCCATTCTTGATAGTTTTCGAGTTTACTATATTTGGTAGCTATATATTTCAAAGTTGAGAGATGAGTTTTAAAGGCCTGGACACGGATTTGAAATTAACATTTTCCTATAGTTTCTGTATAATATCATGACATATGTTGCTATAGCATTTCACATGAAAATATAATTAAAGCATTTTCAGAAAAGTCTTTTATCTGGAAATTATTGAAACTACGAATTTTGGGAGGGGTTTGATTGACACATTTTTGCACTTTTACAAAGTAAAACTTTGTTCTTCATACTTAAGAAAAGAAGAATTTTGTTTTGTATAAATAAAAAATACAAAAGATATAATCCATAAAATTCAGAGTACAAATGTAAGAAAGCAAAACCAACTCACCAGTATTGTCAGTACGTGCTCAGTGATGTGTGCCGAGTTTAACAAATAGAAACACCCGGTGAAACAATAATAATAACAGAGCCCTGTTTACTAAAAAGGATGTTTGATGTGATGTAAAGAAGAGTGTAGTTGTTATTGAAATCTAAGAATACTCTTGTAAGTTCAATTCATATAACTGGTTTTATTTTTTGAATAAACATAGAAATTTAAAATGTAAACAATGGATTTGTATCAAAGCCCCTTAAATTGATATCTTTATCCTTGAATTAAAAGCTTTTCATTTAGACTTTAGTTTTTGTGTATGAAATATATGGAGATAACGAACAGTATTCAAGCTCAAAAGTCCATTAATCAATACAAAATAGGAGCAGAGCAAACACGGACCTCCAAACATCAGAGGTGGGACCAGGTGCCATGGAGGAGTGAGCATCCCCTGCCGACCGGTCACACCCGCCGTGTGCCTCTTGTCATGATCGGGAAATAACGGAAAAATCCGTCGACAATTCAGTGTGTAAATAATGGCCTAACAATTAGTGTGAAAAACGTCAGTCAGCATTTGACTCAATGATAAATTGTATTTGCTGACAAGGTCATTGTATCGACCATAGAACTTACGAAATGATGACTTTAAAGGAGACAGCTGATATTCTTGTTTCATCAACTTGTCTGTCAATAATTTACCTCGCTTTAGAAATTGTACATACGTAGAGCATGCTCTTGCGTATCGAATCAACTGAGAGATATATACCCCGTATGCAGGTGATGAAGGTACATGTATATTGCTGCATAAGTAAGGGAAGTTGACGATTGAAAAGTTAAAGTCATCACGTTTATCATAAAGCTTGGTTGTTAGATTACCATTAACGTCTTTTTCAAGTAAAATATCTAAATATGAAACAAATGTGGTAGACTCTGTGGTATCTTTTATCTCAAGTTCACAAGGATATGTATATGTAGAATAAAAATAAGATGTATCTGGTACAATTTCTTACAGCTGGAATCAATACCTAATCCAAAAATTTAAGTGCAAGCCTGGACTCTTGGAATAAAATTTCCTCATGTCTTTCAAAATTCCAAAAATAAATTTATGAGTTCTCGAACATTAGGACATCCCCGTAGTCTCTTTATTTGAATTACAGAAACTGCACATTTTACTATCTTTTATTCCAACTTTCAAGAGAAATACATTAGTAATTAAAATATGATGATTAATCCCATACTGTAGCCATGCTGGTTTGTAAATTTGGTACTCATGAAAGGTAACTGTTAAATAGACTTCTATTGCAATTTAGAAAAAGTGAAATATTTTTCCAATTTTGACTTGTTAAAAGATGTGACATTTTCTGTTTTAGTATGTCATACATAACCTCTTTACCTTTTTCAGTTGAACAAATTAATCCTATATGCAAAGTACATTTCCCCTAATGTTCATTTTTTCCCTAGCGATATTCTCACTTATTACACTATTTGTAATAAAATTTTGTAAACATTAATTTGTACAAAAGATAGTTTTGATGTTAAACATTCTGAATATCTAATAAACTCAAGAACGCATAATTCTCATCAGACAAGTTTTTGATATATCCTTTACATAGCCAAAGTGAAAAAATCCGTAATGGCCAAAAATAGAGATTATGAACCCAAGGGGAGGATTTCATAACATGTTTGGAATAGATCATAAGAGGTTCGAACTTGTATTCTATCAGGTGTTAAAATTACAAAGCTCTGCCTTTATTCTGTTTAATTTTAAAGATCCTCAGATACACAAGAGGCATACATGTAGGGGTTTTATAAAAACATTTTTCCGGATTTCCATACCCTTCAACTTTTGTTTTTATAGGTTCTGCTTAAGGTACAGGTACATAATCTAAGTGTCATAAAAAAGGAAGAACTCAATAGAGGGAGATAAAGAAAAAAAGGAGGGGAGGAGAGAAGAATTGCATCACAAACTTTTTCCCTATTCTAATTAGATTAATACATCAAATTGTTTGAGTAATAAATTTTTGCCATGTTCTTAATTATCTTCATTTTATCATGGATATCTCGAAAAGCAATAAATGTGTTCTTCAAAAATGAGTTTCTTAAATTATGGATATTTAAATAATGAATTTTATTAATATTTCCATTCATACGTCGACACGATATATCCCAGTGAGCTTGAAATAAGAGATACCACAGAGTCTGACATACATGTTTCATATTTCGATATTTTACTAGAAAAAGACGTTAATGGAAATCTGACAACAAAGCGGTATGATAAACGTGGATGACTCTAACTTTTCAGTCGTCAACTTCCCTTACTTATGCAGCAATATAACCATATCATCCGCAAAATATCTCTTATTTGTTTCGAAACGCAAGAGCATACTCTACGTATGAACAATTTCTAAAACGAGGTATGTTATTGATAAACAATTTGATGAAACAAGAATATCAATAGACTCGTTTAACGTCATCATTTTGTACGTTCTATTGTCGGTTTATTGACTTTGTCAGCAAATACAATCTATCATTAAGTCAATCTGACTGGCGTTTTTCATACTAATTGTTAGCACATTATTTACACACTGAATTGTCTACGTATTGTTCCGTATAATAAGGAACACACGGCGCATGTGACCGGTCGGCAGGGGACGCTCACTCCTCCATGTCACCTGATTCCACCTCTGATGTTTTAAGATGTCCTTTTTTACTTTGCTTCTTATTGTATTGTTTGACTTTTGACTTTGAATACTGTTCGATATATCCATATATTTCATGCATCATATCAATAAAGTACTCTGATCCAGTTTTGAACATTTGATTTTGAATTCACAGTTTCAATTAATAAATTGTTTCATTTTAAATTTTGATTCAATATTCTTGTCATCAAAGATGATTTCAGACCTTTAATATAATTATTAATTTTAAAACTTTTCAATCCTCCATTTGAATACTTGTGGTCTTGAGTACATGTAGTTTTTCGATGTTTTTCCTTATGGCTGCTGTATCAATTTTATGGAAGTTTGGAGGTATGAGTATTTGTGGTTTGCCAGAAGGGACTGCATGGAGCATAGTTTCTACAGTGGGAGTCCATGGTCGACTGCTGTTGGGCCGGTAGTGCATAACAACTCTCTGGGATATGTCTCTGTTGAACTTAAAATGAAGTGGTTTGGAATGTTTTTTGATCTGATTCAAACATGGTTCCAGCCAGGTTTTGATGTCAAAAAGACCTCTTAATTGCTTAGCTCCATTTAGAAGTGAAAGAAGTTTTGGCATCGTCTCTGCATCAGATTTTCTCAACTTCATTGATAATTGGGAAAAGGAAGCATCAATGTCTTCATGAGTATGTCCAACATGGAGAAATGATAAATGGACCTAAAAGAAAAAAAAAATCAAGCTATTTATTTATATAAAGTTATTATTATTTTTTATTTTGACACATGTGTATGCAACAATGTTTTTGATTAACTATGATTTTTTTTTTCAATTAAAGAAATACATGAAATATAAAAATTAAATTCTATAAAATTGGTAAAAGACTGCAATATACCTACTTCTTTGAATATATCCAAAGTAACAAGTAGCTCACAGAAACCAAGGACAAATTTATTCTTATTTTCTCTGGCACAGTTGTCAGCTTGAATGTAAAACGTGCTCTGTAGAAATCCAGTCTGTAATTATTTTCAAAATTTTCATGTAAATGCTGAACACTGTTTAGTTTAATACTTTAGTTCAATTCCTATGAGTTTGTTTTCTTTTTCAATATAAGGACTTTTCCAAATTTTAAGACAAAAAATTTTAATTCTAGATAATTAAATCTTACTATTAATAAAGCCTTGTATGTGCTTTTCAATATGATATTCATCACTAGATTTGCATCCACATTAATATCCACATACAAATCTAGTGATTCTAGTCCATGATTCAATACTCCTTGAATATGAGTCTTCAAAAAACTGTTTGGGTCTACACCCTATATAAAGAAATAAATTCTTGTATGAAACAGACTGAAAACAATCTGTGTCGTATTCTAAGTACATACTGAAATGTTTGAACTGTATATGTATATACTGAAATACTAGTATAAATCCACAATGCTCGGTAATTGCAGATACAATTTTAAAAAGAAACATGCAAACTTTTAGTAAAGCTTTCGCGCCTTAATTTCAAATCTTCGGAAGCTTCTAAAAAATTGAAATGAAAGCGCTTAAGCTTTACTTTACATTTTTGTATATATTTTTTTAATTCTATCTATCTATCTATCTATCTATCTATCTATCTATCTATCTATCTATCTATCTATCTATCTATCTATCTATCTATCCATCTATCTATCTATCTATCTATCTATCTATCTATCTATCTATCTATCTATCTATCTCACATGTTGACTCCTTTACAGTTTATACAATTAATGTTGGTCATATGATTTCATTTTATTGTGACGTTGTGACGTCACAATGGTTTTTGTATGAAAGTGATCACGTCAAATAAATTGAATTCATGTATAAAAAAGTGTAAAACGCGATAATTTTTTTGTAAAACAAGAAAGGATCGAAGCTCTCATTGCCTGTGGTTGGATGTGTCATATCAGAGTTTTGTGTTTTATATCCCTGAGCCAGGGATATGAAACACACAACTCATTAGATATGGGTCATATCCAATCACAATCTATGGGAGATCCTATAAATATCTATACTATCTTGAATAAAAATAGAAATATGCGTATTGTAAATACCTTCATAAGTCTTCCTGTGAAATGTGGCAAATTAGTTTTACCTGTAAAAAATATCAATATATTAATGGTCAGAAAATGAAATTTGTATTGTATAATTTAAAAAAAAATGATATTAAAACCTGTATGAAACTTACTCTGGTCCATGCCATCAATGATAATACTAAGAAAATGGCTGGGGTTGCCCCTAGCCAATTCCCTTTTCTTGTAGTAGTATCTTCTCTCTTTCCTTTAAGGAACAATAGACATATCTGTTTATTATTTGCTATAACACTAATTGAAAATATGTACCATGTATTTTTTTTTCTCTAGACAGTCTATATAAGTATGTATTTATGAACAATTCAAAAGATCCCCACAAAAATTGGTCAATTTGCTATTGCTTACATTTGCCTTTGATTATGAACAGACATCATATCTTTTAGCTTTCCTCTTTTAACAGGATCCCGTGTTTTTTCTAGCTCTCGTTCAATGTGCACACATGTACTACATCTAGAAAATGAATTTGTGTGAAAAGAAAATTATATGCAATTTTTATTTAATAAAAGTGAAATTTAATTTTTTAAAGAGTTACTTTTAATATGTAATTATGTGCATTGCAATGTTGTAACAATAGGATTTTGAAATGATACCTGCTTAATCTTCAACTTTGGAAAGTCTGTTTTCCAAATTTCATGAAATGCTAACCGGCTGACAGTGTATGCATATTTGATGGATATTTCTATTTTCTGTATTTTTTCATCAACATATAAATCATAAAGATAACTTTTTCTTGTCTTGAATGGCAGCATCATATCGCCATTATCAGGCATTCTGTCTGCATGAAAATACTCATAATTTTGCAACCAGACAATGGCTCCTTCTCTTGCCATCCCAAATCCTCTGGCATTTCTATAGCAAGCTGCTGATTTTCCTTCTGAAGCTTTTTTGTAATACTTGTAGTAGAAGTTTTTGTTTATTTTGAGCAGCAGTTTGAAGCAAGAAGAACACACATTGTGGCCACCATCGATTGTAAATGTGGCCAATCCCCTTTGATACTTAGATTCTTTTACTTTATCCATAAACCATTCAACTCGTTGGTCAAAACTCTTTGTCCAAAATCTGTATCTCATACTTCTCATCATTTTTTCATCGACATGTTTTAAGCAAGTCTGACGGCAATTATTTTTTTTCTTCATGGCCAACGAAATGTCTTTTAATGCTTTTTTTAAAAGGATGGAACTATTCTTTTTCTTGATTGATTATGGCTTTTTTGTTCTTACATTTTCCTTAAAACTTGCATTGTAAATGCGTATATCACTGATATTTAGGCTTTTGTCTGGATGATTTCCGTTCATCTCATCCTAAAATGAGAACCAAAGTTGGAACCCCTTAATGTACATATTACATAGTTATATAAAGTGTACATTGATTAAATCATATCATAACATAAAATAAAAGTAATTTTACAAGCACAGTAAAACTGTTTTTATTCAACTAAAGAGATGTTTGTTTCAATATGTAACATCATCATGTAACTTCATTTAACAGCATAACTTTGCATCAAACACGACTGTAACAATTGTACATGTAATACATGTATATTACATTAAAACACACACTAATTTTATGTCCCACTGAGATGACAGATAGGTGCAAAAGTTTTGTCAGTGTGATTACGGTATAAACATAATACATAATAATTCAAATGTTTTATTAGACAGAGACATTGTTTTTTTTTTTTTGTTTTTTTTTTTCAATAAACAATATAATTAACAAAGCTGCAGATTGGGCGTTGTGTCATGACTTTTTGTTTTAATTACTCATTGGAAATGCACAACAAACATTAGAAATTTAGACATCATTGAAATCTTTATACCAAGGTTGACATAATTCGTTCTCATCTGGTTATGTTAAATAAACAATATCTGATTGGTATATCATTTGCCACAGAAGAACCTGCATTTTATTAATTTTAATAGCATAAATTTTCTTAAGAAAGCTTTAAAAAATATTTCAACTGTTACCTGAATTTTTGGTGAAACTTGATTCAAGTTTAAATTCCTGTGTGCAGACTTGACTTTTTTTGGTGTTGATGTCAGTTGTAAAAAATGCTCCCTCTCATAATGCAAAATATCCTATAAGTTAAATCAATATACAAGTAGACATATGTAAAATGAAAATCATTGAATAGTATCAAATGCTACCTGTTAAACAATAAAACTTAGTGTTTATAACCTTAAGGTGGAAATTTGTTGAAAATATTGCAGTATTCAAAATAATATATAGCTTTATAATATCAAAATTTATTTACATTCTAACACGTCTTTGCTTTCTTACATTTAATTTAGTTTTTTTAAACTCTACAATCATGAAAAAAATCTTAATAATTGAAGGCTTTAAAACCTCACAGTGAGCCAGTCTTTCTTATAGCAAATATCAACGCCAATAAGTATCATGCAGGATACATGTATTTTAATTTTCTTTAAAACTAGGAATCTGGGACTAATACTTATCCACACTTTTGCAGTTTACATTGTTTTACCTCATTTTCAAAATCAAAAGGATCTTCTTTTTGTTCACTTTGTATACAGCCTGTACCAGGATTTTCTTTTACATGACACTTGAAACATTCAACTGATCCACTGGCATCACTATCTTAAAAACTCATGCTTTTCAATATGTCAGATAGATTTGACTAAAAGAAAAATATTAATACAAACAATTAAAATTGTGTGACTAAAAGATAAATAATTTTGTAGTGTAAAAAACTTATATGTTTAAAACATCACTACATTAAGAAAGAAATCAAAATTTGTTACAAAAATTCAATATCGAATTTAAATAAAAATAAGACTATACATTTTTAACTGGTTTTCTGCCCAGTTTAAAATACTGCAGATTTGGATGAAAAAATATCAATCAAAAATTTCAGTTTACTTAACATGTAATTGTAAACATTATAAAAAGAATAGTGATTTATATTTGAAGGGACTTTTTAATCAACCAGATTTTGATTGAGAAAAAATAAAAAGGAGAGAAAATAAACCATTTCTAGTTGAACTTGAATATCTTTAAAAAGTATACATACAAATAATATCGAGCCAGCAATGCATAAGCATCAAAATATTGACTTTTTTTTTTTTTTAAATTACTTGTCTTTTTTATTGCAAGTGTCATTTAACAATTAATTTCCATTGTTTCTTTTTTAAATACAGTTTTAGTTTAAGATACACTTTTAACTGTAATAAATGATCTTAATTTATGTTGTTAAATAAAGGTTGATACAGTGTAATAGATTTTTCTAATGGTAAAGATTGAAAATTACATTGTGCAACTCACCATTGAAATGTCGAATTTTGTCTCATCCTTTTCATTTTGTTTATCAAGATCAATGAAAATAAGAGGCTCATATTTATGATTTTCATCTTCCAACACTGGTAATTCACTCTCTGCTCTGGACTTGTTGACAGATGTAACAACATCATAGTGGTCACCATTCTTGTGATGCAGATAAATTGCTAAATCTGTGTTTTTATTCATTGGTTTAAATTCTAACCAGTCATATATTTTTCCATGTTTTGAATAAACAAAAATCGTACAATTTAAACACTTTGCAGCAAAATAAAGTTCTATGTCAGTCCCCCATACACGATTTTCCCTCATCCGAGTTCTTTTTAAATAATCATCTGGAGTCTCATCACGTACAATAGGATCTTTGCTATTTGCAATAAATGATGTGATTATGTTCCTGAAATACATGTGAAGGTCTTTCTTACCACTGACTGAAAGTGCAAGACTTCTGAACAAACAATTCCCATCTCCTTTGATTTTGAAACAAGTAGATGGCTCTCCTAAATAAGAGTTTGGTTCATAAATCTAATCAGCTCTTTCAATAAAAGAAATTCCAAGTTCATTACAAGTTTCTTCTTGCCAGTCTTTGGAAACAGGGGTAAATTTTCTAGGACTGGCCATTATTGAATAGATCCTAAATGAGTGCAAAAAGAATTTTCAACTGTTTAATAGCCATGCACTGTGGTTTGATAAAATCACACATTATGATTGGTCAAATTTACTCAGCACAGCACTGTGATTGGTTGAATTATATAGTTGTTTCACTTAGAAGCATTAGGTTAAAGATCCTCTGCAGAATAAAGCATACAGCCCTGTAGATTAATTATCGAACTTCAAGATGTCCCAAGATACCATTATACCAGAAGAAGAAATTTTCAAAAGTATAGATGCTGACATAATTCAGAAATCATTGAAAGGTATGTTCTACATAACAAATTGTTCACTTAATTAATACAAAAAAAGTATTTCTGAAATTACTGTGATATATGCTTATCATTGTAGGGAGTCATGTCAAAGTACACATTGATAACCTTATTTCTCCAGTCAATGATCATTGCATTAGATTGCTGAATGAAAATCATGTGAATGAACTGGTTGAGTCATTTGCGAAAAACTTCAAGTCTTATACTACATTGGTTGGACTTGTAAATGAGGATTTTACAACTGATAACCTTGCAACACCAGGAAAAAAACATATAGAGGTTCTTGGTGGAAACCACACAAGAGCGGCATTACAGAAAATTTTAAATTCTGGTGAATGCACTCTTAAAGAACAATATGAGTTTGTTTATATGGATATATACCAAAACTTGACAAAAGATCAGGCTCTGTTTCTTGCATACAAACATAATGAGCTCCATGAACACTCTCAGGAGTTGAGCTTTGCAAAGAAAGTCTGTTTTTTTTCATAGACTGTTTCTAAATTGTCAGAGGAATTATGCTGGAAAACCCCATAAAAGTATATCAACTAAATGGAGATCCGACATTGCAGCAATTACGAACAAATCTGTAAGTACAAAGTTTTTTTCTATTTAAAAAGTATACATATGAAAAAAAGTGAAGATAATGAACATTGATCAATCTCAATTAAAGATAAACTTCATGTACAAACAATATAAATCTGTAAACAGGGTAAAAACACCCCCTGGAAATTCCAGAGGTGGGATCAGGTGCCTGTATGAGCATACTTGATTGTGATTGCAAATTGCAAGAATGAAAAAAAAAAATGATATTGTCCTTGTTTACCAACCTGTTAATCAATGCATGTCTTACTAATTACCATGTAATATCTGTGTGAGAGGGTGTGTGTATATGTCAGTGTTAATACAGTCACGTCCCATTATATGTATGTTTGTAAAGAGCCATTTCAGAAGTGAAAACTGAGAATTAAATGGGATGGGGTGGGGAGGGTGGTTCTCTATTAAGTAGTTAATGACCGCTATTGACTAAGATATCTAAGTAAAACACTTTAAATTTTTTATGTACATCAGATGATAGTTCAATTTAGTTTTAAGTCGATATCTCCTGGAAAAAGAGGATTTATTTACTTATCTAAAGTATGAATGGCTCAATCTCTTAAGTTATATAAAAGACGATTGTCTGAAAAATATAAAAATTGAAAAAAAAGATAAACCGGAGTGTA